AAGCATGTATGTCCTGACATCACATGCCACTAGACATCTCAAACTAAAACAAAGATGCAATTCCACTACACGTCTATTAGAAGGGCCCACATCCAAAACTCAGACAACAGAAAACCTTGGTGGTAGGCAAAAGTTTCTGAGGCTACTAGAAAATGCCAATAACATCTCTGCTTTGGGAATATCCCCTAAGACAGGAAAGTAGGGAGAGGAGTTGGGGGCCACTTGGAGACACTGGAATTCAGCTTGGGCCTTGTGGGGTTTCTCAAAAGCATGGACGGGACCCTTTTCATCCTGAGACAGGCTGACTGGTCAGAGACAGACGACAAGAAGGTGGGCTGAAGGGCAGGCGATGCAGGCACCAAGACTGTGCAACGTGAGTCCAGAGTCATCACCGATGAGGATGCAAAACAGCACAAGCACTTGGGAAGACAATTTGGACGTTTCCTACAAAACCATTCAGACTTTTGCTATAGAATACAACCATTATGCTACTTGATATTTACCCAAACAAGTAAAAAACTTAACATCTATGCAACAATCTACACATAACGGTGTTTAGTAGTTTTATCCAAAGTCGTCCAAATTAGTAGCAATTAAGATGCTTGTCAGTTTGTGATCAGATAGATAAACTGTGGTGCATTCAGGCTATGTTACTAAAACTAAAGCCCCGTTCTTTAGCTGTGACCTTACTACTTCAACTGGGCATAACTTGAACAAATTCTGTGTGGTAAAGGGTCCACAAACTGAGTTTTCTTTAAAAAAAAATGAATGAGTTATTAAAGCATGAAAAGATACAGAAGAAACTTATGTATATATTACTTAGTGAAAGAAATCAATATGGAGACTATGTATGGTGAATGTTTTATATGACATTCTAGAGAAAGGCAAAACTGTGGAGACAGTAAAATATTGACAGTAGCTAGCACTCAGAGGGAAGTATGACATGAACATAAGGAACCACAAGGATTTTTCAGTGAAACAGTGCTATAGTGATTAATTCTCATTATACATTAGGAATTTGTCAAAAACGACATAATATACAACACCAAGAATAAAGTATAACATAAACTATGGAATATATATATATATATGTATACATATATATGTATACATATATGTGTGTGTATGTATGTGTGTGTGTGTGTGTATATATATATATATATATATCCCTGCACCTTTTATGTAGTCCTCATTCATGAAAATGAAGGTAACTGACCTTATCAGTCCACAAATATCCTTGATTTCTAAGATGTGGCAGACAAGAGCTGAAGAGACATCTCAGTCAGCAAAGCATTTGCCCTGAAAGCATGTGGACCTGATTTCAGTTCCCAGAAGTTGAATGCAGTAGTGTGTCCTTGTAATCCTAGCGCTGGGCTGGCAGAAACACGCAGGTCCCAGGGGCTTGCTGCCTGGCCAGCCTAGCCTCCTTGGCAACTTCTAGGCCAGTAAGAAGCCCTGAGGACTCAAAAAAAAGTGGCTAGTGCCTGACAACAAACAACAACCAGAGTTGACCTCTGACCTCCTTGCATACCTATCCCCTCACCCAACATACAGAAGTAGCAGACAGATTTATGTTTTGTGTTGGAATTCTCATTGAGACTCTTAACTCAGGAGCCTAAATCTAGCTCATTGTAGGACCGTACTTTTGCTAAGCAGGGTGTGAGGGTGGTTTTGACTTACATTGATGCCTGAAATCTCTAATGTCTGAGAGAGAATTCTATGGAGGTCTCACTGATAGAGGCTTGACAGTTTTAGCACTATTCAGAGCATTCACTTTCTACCTGCCATACCTTGAAAATCCTCCATCTCAAGGTCTGAGTCACCCAAGCCTGAGGCCAAGGTCTTCATCTTCCAGACACCTCTGAAGGAGAAATCAGCCCCACTCCGTTAAGGCTGTGTGGAAACTGTGAGCTGACCACAGGGTCAGGATACGAGGAACCACATTGGTCTGGGTGAGTGTTTCTCCACTTCCTCATCATTGTATACAATTTCTCATCGATTTAAGACTCTCCCTCTACTGATGTAAGGCAATTCTACTTTAGGTAAGACAGACGCTGAGAACCTTTACTATTGGGGTAGGTGATCCTCTGGCTGACAGCCCTGCTTAGCATGTTATTTATCTTGTATTCTTATAGGGATATCATAAATTTTATTCATGTTGCTAGATCACAGATTCACTGGGAAACACCAAATTCCTAAAACTGACCAGTTCCTCTCTACTGTAGGAAAATCATTAACACAGGAAGGGACCTTGGATAGATGCTTTTTTAGAAAAACACAGGTTTGTTCTTTTCTTTTTTCATTACAAGTCAGATTTAGACTCATATATTTACATTGAAAATGTTATAATCTTTAAAAAGAAAATTGTGCAGAATGATGGAATATGAGTGCATTATCTGATTTGCACATGTAATCATGGTTTTATCAATATTTTCTCTCTTTCATTCTCTCCTCTGTATCTCAGATTTCTTTTTTGTTTTGCTTTAGTGATGTATTTCAATCTAGTGGATTAGCCACTAAATCTCTCTTTGGAAAAAATATCAGGATCCTAACCCCAGGGTCTAGCTGGGTATGACCACTTCATTCTCTCCTGCATGCACCCTCCCCAATGCCTAAGATCTAGCCTGGGATCTTCTTGGCTTAGTCTGGTTACTGCTGCCTGAGCTATCCCCAAAGTCTACACTTCTGCCAAGATCTGCCCGACACCACATCCAACCAACCTCTTGGCCAAACTAGATCTTGAACAGCTTTTTTCCGGGGGCCAGGACATGCCCTACCTACTCCCAATCTAAAGGCCCCTTTTGAGCCACATCTAACCTGTTAACTCAGTCATAGCCTGCACATCCTTCACCAGGTGAGTCTGTCTCATCCCATACACCCTTTCTAATCTTCTACATCTACCAAACTACATCTACAGATCAAACTCCAGACTGGCACCAGGACATATATCCTTCATGGCAGTCCAGCTCGTGTCCACCTGACTCCATTTTACCTAAGCCATATCCAGTGTTTAGGCCCAATCTCCTCAGTGCACCCTGTGTCCAGGAACCAAGTAGATGTTGCTATTCTAATATCTCCTTCAACTTCAGACAAATGGCCTTTGACCAAGCCCTATGGTTTACCAGTTGTGTGAAACTGTGCATTATCAAAATCTGTGAACTTCAGACTTTTCCTATGCGACGTGATTATAATAACCGCTATCTTGTAGGAATGCCTAAGTGTGTATAAGACATGTAGAACTATGGAAATGTTTTTTAAAACACCAATTCTTGTTATGATTCATTTTCCTTTGATGTTACAGTGACCACCTTGTTTTTAAAGCCAGGATCTATATTACAAATTATATCATATTCCAGGACAAAGAAAACACTACCAAATAATGTGCTACTTAGCAAGGAAAACTAAGTACTGTGTTTTCCTATGAAAAATCAATTTCTGTGTGAGGTCAACCTTCCTCAGTTGATGCAGCACAATGTTTTTAAAACGTACATCAAGTACTCTAAAACTTGCCTCCCTTTGAGGTGCCATTCCAGTAAAGGCACTTTTCCTTTTTATCCCTCTAGCCCCTACTGAAACTGTTTGAAAGTTGCCAAATTGCATACAGTGTAACCTGATTAGTGCCCTCTTAAGAGGGCAAGCTCTGGATTCCCCAGCCCCTGGCAAAGAGTACCAGCAGTGTCTTTTAGGTGTCCTACCTTCCTGGAGCGTATCACTCACTTCTCAGATTCTGTGTGTAGAGAACACTCGGGTTATTCAGCAATCTTTAACTCCTGGCACGGGCTTACAGGATACTTTCTATCCCTGCCAGTTTTCTCACAACCCCCCACAAATAAATGCCAAGGACAGTTTGCCTTTCACAGCTTCATTTCTCAATTCTGAAGGTTCCTGTTCCTCACTCCCACATCCTAAGCTAACCCACCTGGTAGCCTCATTTAAATTATTTCCCACGGAAAGGCTTGAAGTTTCCTAAGACCCAACTTTGCATTAATCAAATAATTTTCATTTGATTACTTTCTTGTAAACATCCCTTCCTAGTCGGGCAGTGGTGGCACTGGCCTTTAATCTCAGCATTTAGGAGGCAGAGGTGGGTGAATCACTGAGGCAAGTTCCAGGACAGCAAAGGCTACAGAGAGAAACCCTGCCTCAAAAGACAAAGAACAAAAACAAAAACAAAACAAACAAACAAACAAAAAACAAAAAACAAAAAAAAAACAAAAAATACCACCCCCAAACCCACTTCCTTCCCTCCATTAACTGTATTGGTTACTTACTACCTCTTCTTTGTCTTAGCCCTCCCAGTACTAGTTTTCTAAGAGAATATGGTCAAATGATGTTTATGGAACAGATAAGTATATGAGCATTTGGGCCTAACTGAATACTACTTAAGTCCACATTTGTTAATTAAAATTTTTTCATATAATAAATTTTGATCACATTGTTTCCCCTATTCAACCTCCTCCCAGGTAAATAAACCAAAGACATTTATTTAACTCTTTTATTAAATACAGAGAAAAAGTTTTAATGCAAATATTAACCACATTACTATTTTTCTATTTCTCTATTTCATATATTTTACTGTTGAATTATTTAAAATTAATTTTAGAGAAATGTTTTTTATAATTCTATCTTATCTTGAAGTAGATAGATTAGCTAATAAAAGCTTCGCCAATTTCTTTTATAATGAAACTCTTTCTTTTAACACTGATGAACATGTGTGAACAATATAGTTTTTATTGAATGAATCATACTGATAGACTAAAACGAACATTTGAAAAAATTAAAATTAAACAAAAGGCAGATCATTTTCCAAACTGCCCATACAGAACAGGAACACAAAGCTATTCACCACCTTCCCTCTAGCTACAAACAGTCCTTCACTACCTCTTTCAGTAGCTGCCCTCTTGAACTACAGAGTAAAATCAAAAAGCTCTAACTTCCCCATCAAAAAGCTCTAACTTCCCCAGATGTGGGAGGACCTGTTTGACATGGTTGTGGAACATTTAATTGCCGTGGATTAATGTGTCACCGAGTATCCCTGCAGCTCCAGCTCTTTCTTTCTCATCTCTCAGAGCCTCATCATACCAGGACTGGAAGGCACTGGGAACTGTATGGTTGATCTTAGCCCAGAACTCCAGGATCTTCATCTTGCTTGTCTCAGCATGAGATCTCGGGCCCCACCGAAACTCATAGCTTGCAGGGTGGCTGTTAGGCACCTGACGGTACTCCAGGTATTTAAGCTTCACTAAATCTTGAGTGATAAGCTTCCTGGGTTCCCCAAAAATGAAATGTTTCTTTCCATCATATATTTTCATCTTATTCAGGAATTCCCAGATCTTTTCCTCAGTGGCACAGTTTCCTTTCAGGAATATCACACCTAGGAGATTCATTAGCAGGCCAGTCTTGGGAAGTCCCCTGCCTCTAGTCACAGTGCCATTGTTAGGGAGATTCATTTTGCTGACAAGGATGTAGGAGTGATTTATAGAATCCACTTCCTTTAAGTCCACACCGAACACCACCTCTATGTTGAAAGAAGCTTTTTTGAGGATTTCAAAGAAGCGTTTTCTATGCTCTTTGGTGATCACCTTCAACACATCTGCTTTCAGAATGGGTTTTTTCATTTTATACATCTGCATCATGTATTTCACTACCACTCGGACTGTGCCAATGAGAGAGCTTCTAGGGGCCTTCACAGTGGAGGATGAGGACTTGGAAGAATCTTGTTTTCTCTTAATTCTGTAGTTACCTCCTTTAGATGATCTTGTAGGAGAAACACACTTAGACTCAGTGGCAGAAAAGGCTCTCTGAGGCACCTTGGAAGTGCTTTGTAGCCTGCAGGCTGATTTTGTACGGGTAGTAACCCCTAAATAAGGAGAAGATGGAAGTAGAGAGCTTTTCTCCTCTATTGTAGGGGCCTGAACACTCTGGAGATCTCGGGTCTCACCTTCAGTCTGGTGGCATTTTTCTCGGGCTTGGAGCTTACTCTTCTGCCCCCGAGGCATGATGATCTTGTTCAGGAACAATAAGCAGGAGTGTAGTGATGCAGTCACCTGGAAAGAGAATGGGATTGCGTAAGTACCTCCAGCACAGACACAGACATAACTCTTGGCTTTAAGGAGCCCACCTTTTCAGGATTCAGAGAAAGTACTGTCTTAAGACGTCAGCGGGCACTTGTTCCGATCAGCCTGTCCTCTGATAACATTATGAAACTAAAGTGTGCTTTCGACTGCAGCCTGCCGCACCCCCTGCTTGGTGTGCACTAGGAATGCAAGTGGTGGTGGCAGGCTTAATTCTGGTGGAACCCCTTTCCTCTGGGGAGAGAAGATCTCTCAGCCTCAAAGCCACTGCCATTATCATCCCAAACTGTTAGCAGTGCCTGGGCCCCTTCCTTGCGCTGCACTTATTTTTAATAACTCCATTTAATGCCCTCACCACTTCCTTGGACCCCTAAGATTAAATGAAAGAACGCCTGAGCCCTCAACACTTTCTATGGGTCACTCAGTTCTAAGAGCTGACACAGGCTCCCTGACGTCCTCAGTCCTCATTCAAGGTCCTCACTGTGTCTTTAGGTAGGACCTGATGCTCCTCACCTCACATTAGAGACTCAGTAGGCTAAAATGACAAAAAAAAAGAATGCATACACACACAATCGATCTCCACAACTAGGCTCCTCAGAGTTGTAAACCAGGTATGGGAGAAGGGATTCTGCCATGGCCTCTTTCTGGTAGGAGAATTAATTAGTACAAGTCTTCTTTTAGGATCTTGACCTAGAGTCTGGTAATGTTTTGGGTCTCCTATGGAGAACTGGGGTGTACAATAAATTTAACGTAATCACTCTTGGAGTAAAGAAACTGACATCTACTGACCTTTTTCTGGAGATGCCCATGACTGAGAAGAATAAATGAAAACTCATTTTTGTACACTTGCTTTCTTCAGTCATCATTCAAGTCTCTGACCTTGACAACCCACCAGTTCCCAAGGTCTTGGACAGGACAAATACCCATTGTCTGGAGCCTTAGAGATGAGTGTAGGAATACCGCTCTGTGTTTCTGTTTCGAGTGGAGAAAGATCCTCCGATTGGGATGGAAGACCTTCAACTTGTCTCCACTTAATGCCCAGAAGTATTCTGTACACTGAGTCCACTGGCTGTTCTGTTAGCTAACACTTTCCTTTCTGAGACTTTCTGTGCAAAAAACTTAGTATGACAGGTTTACTGGGGCCACACAGGGCTGGGGTGACCCCAGGGGTCAGATTCAGTAGGACCCTATAGATTGTGAGAATGGAATTGATCTCCTAAATCCAAAGTCAGGGTTTTAAACTTAAATCCAGGTAACTCCTAGAAATTCATCTCTAATTGATTAGACAGATGCTGAGTCTTTCTTCCAAGGCCTGGAATCACAAGATAAATGAGGATGACCTACATCCTGCCACTATTGCCCAGGTTTTCTCCATACTGACAACAGGGTTGTGTTGCTAAGGAACCCTAATATTATAGAATCCATGCTTTTTAGGTCCTCAACATATCAGGTAGAGGTAGGGATTCTGAGCTGTTCTGACCTGAGTAATGTAAACTTGAAATGAAGCCTTGACTTTCTTTGGTCACCATTAGGAGTAATCATTTCAAGCCTCAATGGGCTAACCTCTGTAAAGATTCTCAGATACGACAGGAGATACAGGACTCTCTGAGACTCCCTAATTTGGGGATGTGTCCTTCAATCACCACTCAGTTTCTCAATTGATTTTGAACAAGACCCCTCCCTCGCAGAACCAGTAGCCTACCCATTACATCCCATTATGTTGTTTTCTGTGACTCTCCAGGAACAAATGAAGGACACTTCAATCATGGAATTCTGTCTACTGAATGATTTTTCTGCATCCTAGGATCCCTCCTTTTACCAACACAAGTTCGACAGCCACAAACATCTTCCTCTCCTTCCATGGTCTTTTGAGTGAAAATCCAGATACACTACAAAAGAGAACAGCTTTCTCTGGGTCCCCACAGGACTGAAAATGGAGTTGGGTCTTTTGACATCTCCTCTTTTAAGTTGTACACTGGTAAACCCAAAGGATACCCCACTATACTGACTGAAGTCCCTCAGCCTCCAAAGGAAGCCACATGCTTCCCAAGAGGAAGCAACATAGGCAAGCCTCCCATGGTGCTCATGGCTGAAGCTTCTCAGCCCAGCAGATTTGTGAGAATCCTGGTTTAGGGAACAATTCCTCTACTCTCATCCTCACAAGGGCCTCTTGGCTTTACTTTGGTTTTCAACAAGAACTCCCTGGATCAGAACTGGGATCCCCACCCACTGTAATCTATTAGGCTATTTGCTGTGTCCTTCCGGGCAGAAATGAGGAGCATGCCAAATTCCTGTTCATGGGCATCACAGAGTGAATTCAGTGGAGCAAGAATCCTCCCTATAAGGACTCAAGGCCTCCACCTTCAAATATAGTGTTCACCTTGCTTAGTTCTTACAGAATGTGTATAAACTAAATGGCTAACACCCAGACCAATAGGAAACAGAATTGAGTCTTTTGATAGCCCCCTACCCCACTCCTCCACTTTTAGTGAGTGGTCTAGTAGAGCTACAAATTCCTCGTAGTACTGACCTGAATCACAGACCTCCCAAGTGAAGTTTTCACTCCCTTCAGTCAGCTGATAGGAGCTGCGCAGGGGCACATCTCCCTATGTCGGTTGACAGGGCCTAGGCAAAGGCACGCCCCCCACCCCCAGTCAGCTGATAGGATCTGGGCAAGAGCACATCTCCCTACGTCTGGTGACAGGACCTAGGCAAAGGCATGCTCCCCCTCAGTCAGCTGATAGGATCCAGGCGAGTGTACACCTCCCTCAGTCCTTTGGGAAAGTCTCACTTGGCACTCACTCCCTGCTGGAGGTTCTTAGGTCTAACAACAAGGGCTGAATGGCGCCTCCTTAGTTTGGGGAAAAACTTCTCTCATCAGTACTTGGGGTGCCCCAGCTTTACTGTTTTTGACCAAGACCTCTCTCTTGCAAATCTGGGGCTCATAACATCCTATTAGGCTACTTGTTGTGACCATCATGACAGAGCTGGGGAGCACACCAGAAATTTACCATGCTGACTCAACAGAGTAGATTCTGAATCCTGTGTTCCCTCCCTCTATAGACTCTCCATTTGAAGAAAAAAAAAGTTTTATTTTTTATTTTTATTTTTTTTGTTTTTTTCGAGACAGAGTTTCTCTGTGTCGTTTTGGTACCTGTCTTGGATCTCACTCTGTAGACCAGGCTGGCCTCGAACTCACAGAGATCTGCCTGGCTCTGCCTCCTGAGTGCTGGGATTAAAGGCGTGCGCCACCGCTGCCTGGCTTATGTTAGTATTTTTTAATTTAAAAAATTATTTAGTTTATTTCATGTGCATGAGTGTTTTGCCTGCAGGTATGTACATCCATGTGCATGTATGGTCCCCAACAAGGTCACACGAGTGTGTGGGATCTCTTAGAACTGGAGTTACACACAGTCATGAACCTCCATATGGGTCCCTGGGAAATAAACAAATGCTCTTAACTGAGGAGTTATCTATCTAGCCCTTGATGGAAGTGGTCCTAATTGCCTCATCTATGCATTCTATTTCAATTCCTTTAGACAAAGACTTTTGGAATCCCTTAGGGATTTAGGCTTAAGACTAATGAGTATGTGGTGGCTTTTATTCAGACTGTTAATAATACTGTATTGTACAATGGAAATTCCCCGAGACCTTTGGGTGTATTTGAAATAAAAGGGAATTAGTAGATACACGGAAGGCCGCTCAGGCAGGTGGTGGTTCAGTCTCTGTTTCGCTTTTTTAATTTTTAAAAATATTTTTTGGTTTTGTCGAGACAGGGTTTCTCTGTGTAGCTTTGTGCCTTTCCTGGAACTCACTCTGTAGCCCAGGCTGGCTTCGAACTCACAGAGATCCACCTGGCTCGCTTTTTTTTTTTAAAGACAGATTTGAGGCCCAGAGTAGCCTCAAACCCACTGACCCGAAATTTTTAATCCTCCTGCCTCTTCCTCTCCAGTGTTAGTATTACAAGTGTGTTCCACCACACCTATCAGGCCTTATTTTTGCTTTATTCATTTATTTGTATTTTAGCATAAATTAACTATAAAACTATGATTCCTGGCATTTTCCCACACATTATATGTTAATATGTATGAACCCCCATTTCCAGCTCTTAGCCACTACTCCGATCACCTTTCTCCCCCATCAGTCCTCCTCCTATCTTTAAGATTTTGTTTTTGTTTGTTTTTCGAGACAGGGTTTCTCTGTGTAGTTTTGGTGCCTGTTCTGGATTTCGCTCTGTAGACCAGGCTGGCCTTGAACTCACAGAGGTCCGCCTGGCTCTGCCTCTTGAGTGCTGGGATTAAAGGCATGTGCCACCACCATCCGGCAAGATTTTTTTTTTAAATATATATTTTTAGTGTGAAAGAAAATGTGGTTATTTGATTTTTGGAAAACATTACAGCACTTAAAATCATGATCTCCAGTGCCATCTACCTTCTTGCAAATGACATGAACTTTTGAAGCCTTCAGACATCACAAATCTACATAATCCTATAACTACTACATATATTATTTATTTTTCTTCATACTTCACAGTGAACAGGGAGTTCTGCTTCACGTTTTTTAATCCTTGCACTCAGGAAGTGGAGGTGGGAGAATTCAATAGACTTTGAGGCCAGCCTGGTCTGGTAGTGTGAGATGTTTGCTCCAAAGTGAAATGAGCACATAAAAACAATTCCCTCCCATTTATTTTGCTGAGCTTACTGCTTTTACTGGATATCATATCCAGCAGTTTGAAGACAGAGAGTTTATCTGGTTTGCGTAGGACGCGGCCCTAGACTCAAGCTTTGTGCTTTCCTGATAAGCTCTAACATTCACAGTAAGGGGAACAAGAAGGAATTCAGGAGCACAAAGGAGATCTCAGGTTGGGAGGGGTGAAATACTGTGGGTTTTGATTATCTTATACTGTGGAAGATACTCTCACTTAG